CGACGCGGGGTAATAACATGAAGATTGACACTAGTGATGGCTTACCAAAACCCAGAACATGACGACTTTAGTCGAAAATACACTCGATATATATGTATATTGATTGTACACCTAGTTTGATTATTAATAAGTAGGATATTACGTATGAGACAAATACTCAAAGTTATAACAAATCACATGCAACGCGTCATGTTGAGCACAGTTCCTGGTAACATATTACAAGAATATTGTATCTTAAACAAACATCACACTCAAATAAGTTGATGTTATACAGAAAAAACATCACACTGGAAAACAAAACAAATACTACACTGGGTATTCATCACACTGAATCAGAACTCAGGTAATGTTGAACTAAACCATAATGATCAAACGAATGTGATTTCGCCTTCTCATCTCATCACATCAGAATTATTCGTCCCACTGACCATCTTCTTTGTACACGGTCCCAAAGAAAAATGAAGTTGGCTGGTGATCGTGTTGATATTATAGATCTTTTGATCATCGAACCGTAACAGGTAGATACACAACCCCTCTTATCCAAGATTATGCGAACTCCGCTCAAGGTACGAACATTTTTACTAGGAATGACCTGGTTAGGGCATGTCACAATATACCAGCAACTGAGGGAGATATCTCTAAGATAACTTTTACTGAACCATATGAACTGTTCGAGTTTGTGCGCATGAAGGGTTTGTGGACAACCTACGTTGGGATATGCCTTTTGAAATGGTTAAATGGATGACTTGTTGATTACCGATCCACTTCAAAATAACACGAACAACATGCGAGAGCCATGCTAAAATGTGTCGGTGAAACTGAAATTAAAATGCACAAAAATGAATATAAAAGTAAACGTTTATCGCCAATTCATACCTGGTTGTACACAACTAATGCGACTATTGAGAGATCCCTTAAAGGGAAAACTAGAAGATTTAATGTTGACTTCCGAGGCTGTTGAGGTTATTAAATTGCTAAAGGATAAACTAACTCAACTATCTACGTTGACATATCCGGGTTCTCATTCCCTATCTGCTCTGATGGTGAGTGCCTCGGACAAAGCAACAGGCGGTATTCCTAACCAACTGGTTGAAAAAGCCTGGAAACCGATTGCGTTCTTCTCAAAAAGACTCGCTCCAACAAAATCGAGATATTCTACCTTCGGACGAGGACTTCTCGCAATCTACATAACCATTGAGCGTTTCTGATACTTGTTGGAAGGCACGGAACTCATAGTCTGTACGGATCATAAACCGCTAACCAATCCATTAAAAGCTAGTGCCGGTAAATATTCTCCTTGGGAGGTCCGACACTTTGACTATGTGACACAGTTCGACAGTGATTTCCGACCTATCAAAGATTAGGAAAATCAAGCGGTAGATATATTGTCTCGTCTAAAAAGGAACATAATACAACAATCTACAGCAAATCTTTGGGCTTTAAGAGACAAACGGAAAGAGGATCAATAACTGATAGACCTACTTTCTACCTATTGAAGACAGTTTGATTTAGAGTGACACAACCTGGACGATGTCTCGATCTTTCGCGCCCAAATATTTGCAAAAATAATTATTTATTAATTGTAATACTTCACTCACCTCGGGTCAAAAACTACTGCCAAACCAATTAATGGTAGATACATATGGTTAGATTTACCGAATGATGTACACAAGTGGGTTAGAGAGTGTCTTTGCTTGCCAACATTCAATAAATAACCATCATACGAGTTAACCTACTGGAAATTTTCTTACATCCAGATGCACATCATGCTCAAGTTTATATCGATTTAATAGGTCCTTTATTGAGTTCTAATAGTTTAATTGTTTGTTTACATGCATAAACAGGTTCACGAGTTTTGCACTATCCGTATCAATAACTGACATCACAGCCGAAATAGTAGCCAAAGCCTTCACTCAAAAGTAGGCAATTGTTTTTGGTACGCGTATTACAGTAACGCCTAATTCAGGACTGAGCCATTCGATGACTTGTAGAAACTTCTAGACTCAAACATCATACATTGTACTGCATATCACTCTCAGGCTGATGAGATGGTGAACCGTCCCGTCGTCAGCAAACGATGCTCTAATATCACACTTAAACCCCAGTCAATGGAGAAAATTCCTATCATTAGTCATGTTGGGAATAAGAACAGCTGTAAAAATTGGTTCACAGTGTTTAGTATCAGAATTGGTCTTCAGGACAATTTTGAGACTGCTAGGTGAGTTTATAAGTTATTATGTTGATATTAAGAAGCTCGACCTATAAAAAAGCGCGAAAAAATTTTTGTGTCCTTACTTTCACGTCGTCGGAATTGCAGAGGTCCCTCGTTTCGGGTATATGTGATAAGCGCTTCAGACATAACAATCAGCGATGACTAGACATAAAAAGTAGCGTTCAATCCGACAAGACATATCATGGAGGAAACTAATGCAACAGCTAAGAGTTGGTCAAGTATCTCTTGATATTGCCAAACATTACGGCTCAAGTTCTTATTTAATTCCCCATTTTGTGCAAGCATTGTCTCACACGGTGAGTGTTGAAAACTTTGTGTGCTTAAGAATTATAACATCCCACTCTAACTGTTCTGGTCCTATGATCTGAATAAAAACCTACTATAACCACTTTGCGGGTGTTTTCTTGTATTGGAACGAAAGCGTAACTACAGTCACCAAAAGTGAAATGAAATCTCGAGTGGAAACTATCCTCATATTTCCAACACGCATCCAATAAATGAGCTGAAAAGTGTTAAATATTACACTTTTGTAAACATGAGATGAATAAACCTGTGAGAGTTATGCTGTGTATCAGTCAAGGCCTTAGTCTAATCGTAGGATATTTATCAGTTCTCACCCCTAAAGGTCATGATGACTTTTCATTCATCCATAGACCAGTTTATGGTTTTGTTGCATTTGTATGTGCTTCAGTTGACCTAAATGTGTTTATTTGTGTTATATCCTAACAAAGAATAAATTATGGGTAACTTCTGGGATTTCATTACTGAACTCATCAGACTCTACTCGTTTCCGATTCTTTCATATCTTGATTCTAGGAGACTCCAATCTCCCTGAAGTCAATTTCGTGGAACATACTGAAGCTCGGTTCTTCAACCTTGTTGAGGATCTGGGATTATTCGAAAATGTGGAGTCAGCAAACTCGTTGGAGAAACAGTCAGATGCCATCGCGCCTAGACTGTGTATTTACAAACGAAGAATTCTTATCTGACAACTTTTCAATCCTGGCTTTCCTAATGAAAAGCGACCACGCCGTCATAGCTTTTATTTTCATCAACAAAGCTGAGCTGACTTGGTGTGCTGGGAACTGCAGCACCCAAAAAATTACTCTTCCCATGGTCCGGATATGGTTCATTCTGCTGCGCTGTGGGAAGCTGCTTCAATCTTGACAACACCGCTTAGCGTTATGTTCTCACACTCGCTAAGTCGAGGCCAACTACCGGAAATTCGGAAGCTGAATCACATCACACCAATTTTCAAAGGAGGTCGACGCAGCGAACCTTCAAGCCACCGACTGGTGGTCCTTCTCTCTATATCTTCAAAAATTACGAAGTCCCTGATATGCGACGGTATACACAATCATTTATTATCCCCAACAGCAAGGTTTCACGAAGGGTCATTCTTGTATAACCAACCTACTGACTGCGGTGGACAGATGGACAACCATCCTTGGTCGCAAGGGGAAGTGCGATCTCATTTATCTTGATTTCTCAAAAGCTTTTGATAGGGTCAACAATATACGTTTATCAATAAGCTCAAACGATTGTGTATCGAATAATCTCTAATTGACTGGCTCACTTCATATCTAAAAAGTCGACATTTTAAGGTCAGGGTTAATGTCACTTTCTCTCGAGCCATGGAATGTCTTAGTGGGTTCAGAAGTAGGACCTCTTCTTTTTTGATTTATGTGAACAAACTTCCACATCAGGTATCGTCCGACATACTACCTTTTGCTGAAAATGCTGAACTCTGGAGAGAAATAAACAACCAAGGGGATTAATTAGTACTTCAGGATGATTTGATCCGGCTTCAAAGTTAGGCGGATGACAACGGACTTATCTTTAACGATTTAAAATGTAAAGTAGTCCATCTGTGACATGCTGCAGACTACAGCTACAACTTAGGTAACTCCTCTTTAGAAGTATCCCAAGTTGAAAAAGATCTTGAAGTATTGGAACCCACGACTTGAAGCTTTACGCTAACTGTGACAAAATGTCTTTCGAGCAGACCATGCACTGGTGACATTGAAGCGCATTTTTGGCCAGTTTGACGGAAGAACTTCCCACATAATCTTCAACAATTTCATTCTTCCCCATTTAGAGTACGGAAACACAGTATTTTCTACCCGGCTCCAAAAGGATAAGGACACTCTTGAGCGTATCCGACGATGAGCCACGAAATCAGTTCGAGGACTCAAATTCAGTCCTTATGAAGAGCGCCTCCAATCACTGAAACATTAATCATTAGTGTATAAGCATCTTAAAGGTGATCTTCTAATGGCTTACAACATCCTAAATACTTCCAGAAATCCCTTTAAACACCTACTTAAGTTTAGTTCTGACATAAACCTAAGGGGTAACACCCAGAAACTGGAGACAAAACATGGAAGAACGGATTATAGACACAACTTTTATTCCTTAAAAGTTGTCAATTACTGAGATTCGCTGGCGGCTGAGCCAGTGCAAGCGACTTCCCAGGAATCGTTTAAGAGGCAACTTGACATATTCTTAAGGACTAAGGATAGTATCTCACTATGATTTACTGATTTTTTCTTTTTCCTATTTTATCAATAATATACCTAGGTACACATAGTTCCCTTTATCATTTTAAAGAGAGTAAGAACAAAGGTTGGTGCAGAATAATATGAATTCATATTATTCTGCACCAACCTTTGTTCTTGCTCTCTTTAATATACCTAGGTTCCTGCCTGGAGGTATTGGTGATCCACTACTACTAGACACGGAAGCCCGTCAAGCGAAAGCTTCTTCTATTCCATCCAAAACCATTTGAACTATTTGAAGTTTGTTTTTATTCATTAAAAGCAGTGGTAAGCGCGCGTCTCCTAGATTGCCTTAGTCGTGGTGTTAGCTGTGCGTGCCCCACACATAGTATGTCTATAGTAGATGATGAAGAATTTGCAACCGGAGATTCTGGGGCTTCAAAAACACTACCGAAACAGTGTAGTTCTTTGAGGAAAGGCGGATATGTCGTAATGAAAGATCGTCCTTGTAAAATCGTGGACATGTCTACGTCGAAGACCGGGAAACATGGCTCTGCAAAAGTGCACATAGTTGGGATCGATATATTCACTGGTAAGAAATATGAAGAAAATCGCACATCATCACATACTATGGATGTGCCTGTGATAAAAAGTGAAGATTATCAACTGATGGATATCAAAGACGGCTTCTTGTCACTAATGGGTGATGATTTATGCGTCATCGAAGATATTCCCGTCCCTGACAATGAAGTTGGAAAGGAATTAAAAGAAAAATGGAATTCAAGAGGGGAGACAGAGAATATGATTGTAAGTTGCTTTGTCGGTAATAAAGTTCTTTCCTAGGTCACTATATTATCTGCTATGGACGAAAGGCAAGCACTAAAAGTTCGTACTACTTCAGACAAGTAAACAGAATCCCATTTGAATAAAATTTCACACGACACTAAGTAAAATTTTTTATTATATTTGAGAAAAAATATATTTCTAGTGTTATTTGAATCAGACCTTAGTATCTCGTCAGTAAGGTTTCACTCTCCGCCTAATAGTTTCCGAGTCATACGTGGCGCCGACATGTTCATCCCATGCTTTCCTACACTTGGCGACAATCCATGTGTGCTCCTCATGATCTAGTACATCAATAATGTAGCACTAAACCTACCTGCATTGCGAAGAAAACATCCGTTATAGTCTGTTACTACTCTTGTCAACGGATTGTAGAAACCATCACCAGTATCGTAGCATCCGTCTGGTATTTGTGTTCTCGGTTCTTTGTCTACTAATTGTGACCTTCCTGCAAAATAGAGAAATGTATTGCTTGTAATATGAACAATTCCAAAACACTATCTTGGCTCTTTTACCTAAATCTGGTTTCTGAGATTGTTGCCAACTACGACAAAGTATCCTCACTCACTCAGTTTGTTGGCGATCCGAATAATATATAAATTTGTTAGGTTGAGACACGTGCGACTACATCTGCAAATTCGATATCTACTTAGTACAATAGCACGGTCGATAAATAAGTGATATAAGGTCGCTGGTTATCATTTTTATTAGTCCGTCCGAGGAGTTATATCTAAAAAGTGTTGTAATGGTAACGTCTTTCAAACTAAATTTTGCGAAACATTTGTCCAGGCACTTGGGAAGTATCATAACCCCTACACATCAATGATAACTGTCACTGGTCTCATTGTTATTGTGTGGTACACATGTATTTGGTGTCTTCTTGTGCCATTGTGTACAAATAAATGAACTACAGTTAGTCGTCACTATCGGATGTTATGACAAACACTTTGTACCACTCCAGTACTTCATGAAGAGTAGATTTCATTGGCGATAGTGACAGCTGAAATATTCATGCCGTTTGGCAAGTTCGAGTCCAGCTTTGCAGTTTGATCTATCCACCACATCTGTATTGCATGACAGGTCTTTACAGCACTCGCTAGTACTTAAACTACCAGTGACACTCGTAGGTATTATGGTACGCTGTCTTACAGCGTTATATTGTGGTTTGGGCGTTAAATGAACAGACGCAACTTCAGCCGGCTGATGTTTGGGGTTGCTTAAGGTATTTGAACGTCCCCCATGTACTACTAGATTGTCGTCCGCGTACTTGAAATCACTTCTCGAACAGCTAGGGGAAGTCCCTGTGAGCTTACCTTTAGCGCCGTAAGTGAAGAAAGTCGTCAAAATCATACTCGACGCTACTCCACGATAGTGAATGGAATAAGAATTAGGACTATGATGTGCGAACTTTAAGCTTTGCTTACCCGGTATACTCTAACAGGTGAGTTCGTTTTGCGGTAGTCTATGAGCTTCTTGAGAAAACCCTAACTCGTCTGTCAGCAATCTACTCTGTTATAGCTTTTGGAAAGTTACTCAGTAGCAGTAGTTTTTGTCCCTCAACTAATCAGCTTTGCTGCATCGAGCTCGTAAGATTGTCTCTAGTTTCTTCAGAGTGGGCCTCATATATCGAAATTACCGGTGTCCCTATTACCCCATGTTGGACCACAGGCCTTATGTAAAACCCTGTGATTTCGTGTCTAATAAGCAGAAAACTCATAGAATCAGTCCAAACGACCCCCAGTTACTCTTTGGTTTCTTTCTTGCTTCGGTATCAAGAGATTTTAAGTATTTTTAACGATGAGGCTTCAACATTATTAATGTAAGAAAACCGGACATTATTCCTTTTGACATATATTGACCCGATTTCATGAGAAAAAGTAAATACTAGTGAAAAGAATACGGCGTCACCAATAGAGATGTACGAACCATATATTTTCTAGCCATCCAGCTGAAGCGTTATATCACAGTGCTCTTTACCTCGGGTGCTTGGGTAGGGACTTACGTCAAATCGCCATCATTGATTACATCGAGGAGTGCTCGTATTCGTCTAATTCTACTGTCTAGTGTGATGTCATATGCATTCCTACGTGTAACAGCACTTCCATTTTGCTTTGCGGTTCTTTCACGTATACTTTTTATGGAAATAGGGTATCTTGATTACAGTTATCATCAACTCGAACGCGCTACTGCCTAAGATCACTCCCGCACTTCACATACACAGAATGTCGCCTCACCTTTTGCAATGCGGTATTAATCAACTTTATTAACAGGAATGAAAGCAGTTAGGGACGCCGACGGTTCCACTCATTTTACTTATCACCTACATTAGAGCTAAATGAATAGAGATAAGTTTACACCTGAAGTATTGGGTAAGAGGTGCTAATCGGTATTACATTATAATTAGTACTGCATCGATCAGTGCATTAGCGTCGTGTGTTGTACACCCGCGACTACCGTTGATAACGTGATCTATAAGCCAGTAAAAGTTTAAGTCAGTTATAGACTTGACAAGGATGTTCATCAGTTCAAGTTGCCTCACCCGATGAATACACTTGAAGCGGAAATTAATAAAACGAAAACAGGCAAAGTTTCTCGTTGTAGTATGCAGGAGAAAGTAGGTACCGTTCAGAAAAGAAACGGATGTGATCAGAGAACAGGGTCATGTGTGCGCACTTCTGAGTCCCACACTAGGACGAAACGGCCACCCAGGTTGCAAATAGTGGTCTAACAAAGACTAGCCTATGATCTCAATCGAAAACTCAACAGTCTCCACAGCTTCATACTGCTATGTAGAGTAACGTTATCGGGATTGGGAGAGATGGAACACATTGAGCCACAAGCCAGTTTTATTGCATGTCAGATGGCGACTCTGATTATGAAATACGATCGTTTCGCGGATTTTAGACAAGATGTCCGGATCTGCCGATGTCTCATACCAACAGTTACTGACTTCATTAACTGGTGGTGCCTTTATCTATGTCTAAGCTTCTTTCCAAGTGTCTATCAGCGTGTATTGTACATCGTGTTTACCCAGATTCCCATTCATCATTGAATACAGTGGCACCCCATAAGTTGCTTAAATTCTAGTTTGCACAGATTTTACAGCTAAAGTGACAATATTTGTGTCAGTGCTTAGAAGTAGAGTATAAGAAGCTAGGTAGAAAGCATTTGATTATCGACCTCCTTGAAACACTAAGCATGTACGTCAGTACTTATTAATCGAAATTAGTGAAGTAGATTAGGTTTCTCTGGATATTGAATGCCAATCATTGATTAGGCTGATAACATTTTTGTGACATCACAATTGGTAGAAAATTTCATTTCCGACGTTTCGTGATGTAATGTTAGCCACTTCTTCAGAGTAGATAACCGAAGCAAATTAGCACTAGTTTAGAAATTACAGACAAGTCATTGTTTCCTTTGTGATATCACAAAAAGTATACTTATCATTAAATTTCTACTATCAAGTCCAACTTTGGTATTATTACCTAAAAATAAATTAAACTGCTTATACAATAACTCAAGTAATTTGGGGAATAGCACACCTCGATAAATCAAAATCCTGGTTCCCGAATTATAGTTAGCACATAGGAACGCCACACTTTGTCGGAATCTTTTTGTCGCATTAAAGGTCGAATTATGGATTCCTGGTAGGTGCTTCGTTGTTTAACCACTCAGTCGTAATAAAACCTACAAAATAAGCTTTTATAAGACACAAATTCGGTCTTCCGCCTACTAAACTGATAACGCATAAAACCAACCAATCTAGTGTAAGTCTGGGTCGCATTATACATCATCCAAGTTATTATTTAATAATTGGGACCATAATACATTTAGTCTTTATTTGTACTTATCAAGAGGACCTTTTAAAATGTTAGTGAATCTTATTGTTTGTCACGTGGAACTGATAACTGTGTTACACCTAAGGGAGTTATAGTTCTACCCTAGAAATTCTCATGCGCATATAAAGTTAATTTTATATGGATAAAAATGTTGACGTCGGTTTAAATACAGGTCATAAAGTAGCATAGTGGGAATGTTCATTCGTAAAGATGAAAGGTGATAAAAGCATCCGTCCTCATAAGTTTCTTGTTAAAATTTTCAGCTCCTGCAAATCAGGAGAATCTTTCCACTTGGATAGCAAATTTTCAAGTTTTAATTAGAAATTAATGACTTAGCGTTTACACCAACGAGGGCTTACATATCTATGATCACATAATTTACATGAGAATCACAAAGAGAATCTTCTGTCAGTGTTATTCTTATTATTGGCTAACGCACATCATCTTTAAAAGTAGAACTAAAAGCAATAGTTATTTGATACAGATTATCATGTAGAAATCAACTTCTACGGTCACATATTATACTTTTATATAGGAAGGATGACATCGAGTTAATCGGTCTGAAACTTGGGATAATTAGTCATTTTTTGTCTGACAAATGTAGAGGCCCATTGGTTAGTTTCAAAAATGATTCTTAGGGAAGATCGGTTTTAAGAAAGCTCTTGTTGAACATTCACCTTTTTTTGTATGCGCATGGGTCACTCCCAAGTTTCTTCACAAAGTATAGCCTTTTTATGTTAGAAGACAAATAACAGGATACGGCTAAACCACATTAAAACAAAATATATTTATTAGGGCTGACTTTTCTGACTTGGTCATCGCATTTCGTTTACTTAGATGTTTGACACAACTGTGTGATTAATATGTATTAGTGCATGAGTAAATCGACAAATATGCAGGGTTAATTACTGAGACATTAGTTGTTTCTACTGATTCGTTTATTAAAACATTGTATATTCACGAGTGCTTGCTCCGGTAATTTTCGCTACCTGAATATTCTGAGTCTGACCAATTGCGTCTCACTAAAGCGGTCCGAATGATCTTCCTTTAAACATCACTAATACGCTGACCTTATCAGAACACAATCGTCCGGTACATATGTACCTTCTTGCTTTCTTTAAAAAACCAGATAGAGTTGGTCATAGCACTCCAAGCTGGGAACAACCTCACGGATACTAGCATACGTATGAAGTGTCTTTTAGGTTACTTTAGCGGGAAGTCACAAGCCATTAGAGCTCGCACTGCCTTGTCTGACTACATTGGATTGACAAGCGGAGTGCGACGAGCTCAACCCTTAGACTACTCTTCTTATCATCTAGTAACGGCGTATCATGTATTCTATATCCTCAAACTCTATGATATGTAGATCTCAAATTTTGGAGGTGTCTATTGGGTCTCGCTCGTATTTTGACGTTTAGAGAAAACTTGCATAAGATATACGACTGTACTAGAGGGAACTTCCCTCTTCATAACAGTAAATAAAAAACGCTAGTGCTGGACAGTAGTCATATATTCATCTCTGGATTTATAATTGATACCACTATCACACTTTACCAAAGAAAACGACCTGGTCATAATTCTATGTGATACTGTAGATGTGTCTGTCCGTTTCTATTCTAAAACCAATACAGTATACTCTGACATTAGGTTTCTTTCCAGAACTTTAGGTAACCTGACTCTGGAATTACTGGAAACGGTTTTAGTTGTTTATTTAAGACCTCATCTGGAAATAACTAGATGATGTCTCCTTACCTGAAAGGATATCACGGCCTTGGAACATGTCCAAAGAACAACGAAAATGATAGAACAGGAAGTATACCTTACTCAACCCACGTAAAGACATTTAGTTGGCAACCAGTACAGTGTTAAAGGATTAGAATGGACATGACCATAATATATAATGTCATCTACAGCCCTTTTCACCTCAACAGATCATTGGTAGGCTTAAAAAGTAAGAGGCATCTACTTAGGATAGAACACGGAAGAGATTGGACTAAAATCCGTCCAAACGTTTTCGTGATTACAATCACAGTTGTGGAATGCCACGCAGTAAGTGGTTGTGACTGCACCTTCTGACAAATCCTTTCGAAGACCTGACGTTTACTTTGGTTCGTTAAGTACTGATGCATACTGCTCTAGGTGTTACTCCTCGATCACAGCCATTTCTAATTGTTTCTCCGTTCCGATTTAGAAGAAACACAAGAATCATACCTTTTCAAGTCCAAGACCTCTATCTAGAACCCATATGCAAACCTAGAGTGGCAAACTGCTTGCTTCTGTGTAACATTTGGAAGTCTGCGCCATCGAAAGATATCGATTCTGTAGTACTGCTAGTGACCAACTTATTTATTTCCCTAAAATTTCTTCAAGAGTCTGGACAATGTGATAAGCATAAAACGCAGTCATTCCCACCCATATTGAAAGAAAATGATAATAACTCCAAAGGTTTTACCTGCAGGCTTTATACCAGAACATATTTCTGTATAAAATCTCCTATCGAATTCATCGACATAGTGAGCTCCTTCTGTGTATCTGAGACCGTCTGAAAATATTGTCTCTCCCTAAAACGTCATGACATTAAAATTCTCAAACATTTTTAGGTTTTCCCTTTTCCCATGTTGCATGATATTTACTTCCATTCAGAAAATGGAGAGTTCCTTCTCCGTGAAACATACCGTCAAACATTTCCCCTTCGTAATATGTCCCAGTAGGCAGTGAATACTTTCCAAATCCCTCCAACCTTCAGATTAAATTTTACTGAAGACCAAACAACCTGTTGTTATGAGTCTCACCCTCATATTTATCACCACAGTATTCCATTTTTATACTTGAAAATGTGACTACGAACTTGTTGTGGAGATCAATCGTTTGGTTGGTTCTAACAAAAGTGGTCCAAGTCAAAAAGTCATGACAACAAAATTTACTAAGAATTAGTTTAAAAAATATAGACATGCGTCTCCTACGAAGTCTAAAATGCTTCTAAAATTTTGCAAACTATCAGCTCGTAATCGCTGAATAGAAAACCTACCAGAACACCAACTTACAGACTGTCGCTTCCATAACTCATCTGTTAGTTGCTGTGTATTACAAGATGCTATGCATCAAGCCAGACCATAGGACAATTTCTGTCCTGTAAACCAAATTGATAACCATTATAAATGCTAAGATGATTAAGGAGACCTTCTCATTCCTAAAATAATCCTATTTGGGCCTGTTAACTCTCGTGGAGGAGCACAGGCTGACCGCCAGAATTCTTCATCCAATTCTGTCCTAAGCAATCCTTTCCAGTTGCTATTCATTCTTTTCACGTCTCCTAATTCCCGACTCAATGTGTCCGGCCTTCCTCTTTTCCGTTCCCCTTCAGGATTCCAGGTTAATACATGCCTCATGATGCAGTTTTGGTAATTTCCACAATGTGTGTCCTATCCACTTCCAATTTCTTTTCCTACTTTTCACTTCAGCTGGAAGCTCGTTTGCTGTCTCTCTCACAGTAGGCTGTTGCTGATTATATCCAGTCAACAGACATTGAGTATCTTACGTAGACAACTGTTTATAATTAGTTGTATCCTTTTGATGATGATTGTAATAGTTATCCACGTTTCACCTCTGTTCAGGCGGACTGTCTTGACGTTTGTAGTAAGATTCTGAATTTGATATTGGTTGACAGACAGTTCCGTATGTTGTCCAACTGTAGGAATTCTACCCTTTGCCAATCCTTGCCTTTACATCCGCATCAGATCATCCTTGTTCGTCGATGATGTTGCCCAGTAACGTGAAAGGTTCCACCTCTACCAGAGCTTTGTCATCAGATATGATTGCTAAGATGTGCGCCGTGGTGTATTTTAGGATCTTGGTCATTCCTTTGTGTATGTTGAGGCCTACTGTTTCAGAGGCTGCTGGTTCACTGGAATATCTTCATCTACATATATTGCTGCTTCTGGGATAGAAGAGCTAGGTGATCTGTAAAGTCCAAATCGTCCAGTTGATTCCGGGTTGTCCATTTTATTCCGTGCTTCCCCTCAGATGTCGAGGTCTTCATAATCCAGTTAACTGCATGAAGAAACAGAATGGGGGGAGATTAAGTAGCCTTACCTCACTGAGGTCCTCACTTGGAATGTGTCTGTCAGCTGTCCACCATGTGTGACTTTGCAGAGTAGCCCGTTGTATCAATTCCGTTTGATGTTGAAGATCATTCCAGCCACACCATATTGTTGAATATGTTTCTATAATGTTCTCTTATCCACACTGTCAAATGCTTTCTTATAGTCAAGGAAGTTGATGTATAGTGACGAGTTCCAACTTATTGGTTACTTACGATGATCTGTTGTGTCGAAATTTGGTCTGTGAACGACCGATCTTTACAGAATCCGGTCTGTTGATCTCGAATTTGGGTGTCTGTTGAGTATTTCATCCGGAGTCCAATGGAAGGCCAAAATAGCTGTCATTAGAACAGTTAAACAAAAAAGCACAGTAAAACAATCACTGGTACATTTGGTTATAATGATAATTGTTTTCATCGAACCAAAAGTAGGTCACTCCAGATGCAAGCTGATTTTTATGTTGAATTAATGTGTGCCTAAATAGTTGTTTGGGTTAGATTATAGAGGTTTATGATGTCAATAAACACAATGTCTATAAATGTATAACGACTCAATGAAGTCAATCTAATAGCTTGCCGATAATACAAGGTAACCAAAACGTTTTTGACATTTGATGTTGACCTCATTAGTTTCACTGGAATCACCTAGCTGAATGCACTCGGTTACGCATTCACACCAGATCATAAGCGGGTACGTCATGCTACACATCTCTCACAACCATTAGCCAGCTTCGATCAAACGCTTCTCGAGATATCGGTAGCTTTTTAAATATAACTTCGAACCTCTTCACTTCTGATTTCTGATTTGATCGGGTCGGCACACTTCGATTATACAAGGTGTTACTGGTTAAGGCGTTGTCGAAATACAAATACTTGTGGCATCTTTAAATGTATAAATATACCAAACAATTCATTTAAAAATTATTTACAATAAGATTATTAATTAGTAGTTTTCAAAATGATCGCATATATTCTCACCATTTAGGTCAGTGTACATTTTCTGTGTTTACTCTACATAATGAGTCATCGTTCAGTAATTTATTACCGATTCAAGAGTTTCAAATGGCCAATTACGTTTATGCCAATCGTTTTCATTTATTCATATACGTTTCTTTAGACATTCAGCCATACCTGACCTTCAACTACTATGGTATAGACTCGACAGTCACTCTACGTGAACTGATGGTCTTGTAGGGCCAGTGAAATTCCACGTGCGCAATTGCTTGATGGTGGTCGGTTCTGGGTAATCCAGAATGGCTGCCACTTATGTTCTAAGGGGTCGAATGCCTTGCGCATCTATAGTGTGTCCTAAGAAATCTAAGAAGTCGGTTCCGATTTGTCATTTCTGAATGTTTACGGTAATGCCATGTTTTTGTAGTCGGTCGAAAACAAGGTCCAGATGCCGGAGATGTGATTCTCTGTCCGGACCTGCTATTAGACAGTCATCAACGTATGCATGTACGAAGTTGAGACCTCGAAAAACGTCATCTATGAACCTTTGGAAAGTCTGTGCCGCGTTTCTCAGACCGAAAGGCATTCGCAAAAATTCATAGAGTCCGAAGAACGTTATAATAGCGGTTTTTGGAATGTCTTCAGTGGCCATAGGAATTTGGTTATAAGCTTTTATCAAGTCAATTTTTGAAAAGACAGTTGCACCTTTCAAGGTAGCTGTCAAATCGTGAATGTGGGGCAACGGGTAACGATCGGGAATGGTTTTTGCATTTAATCTCCGATAGTCACCAGTTGGACGCCAATCGTTGCTGTCCTTTTTAGGGACCATGTGCAACGGAGATGCCTATTGGCTATTTGACGGTCGTATGATCCCTAAGTTTATCATATGGTCGAATTCGTTTTTCGCCAACCTTAACTTTTTGGGGGCCAGTCGGCGTGCTTTCGAGAAGACAGGTGGTCCTGTAGTCGTGATGTGATGTGTAACATTGCTGGTTACACACAGCAATTTCGGTTGCCATTGGTAAATGCCAGAATATTTATCGAGTAGTGGTTGGTAGAAGGGGTCTATAGTGTGCTTAATAGTGACTGGAGAAAACTCGCAACCAGAAAAAGAAGTCAGGCAAACAGATAAATTAGTGTTTCCGTCTACTAACCTCCGTTTGCGCGTATCGATAATTAAGTTGTGGTATTGTAGAAGGTCCATACCAATGATTGGCATAGAAACATCTGCAACGACAAAGATCCAGTGAATGGGTTTGCGTAAACCCACGTTGAGATAAACATACCTTTTGGCATACGGAGCGATAGGCTTTCCGTTTGCCACCTGTAGATTTAAAACGAGCTCGTGTAGCCTGTCATCGGAATTCGCTGGGAGAACGCTAACCTCTGCGCCAGTATCTACGAGGTAGCGAACTCTCGTTATCACATCAGTGACATATAAAAGACGGCTATGTTCGCTGGCTACGGTCGCCGTTAACGCGTGCCGGCTTGGAAGTTTCCCGAGACGTTCTTCGCGTCGACGGATTTCGCGTTTGGAAAATTGCAGGGTTTTCTGCAATTTCTTGCGGACTTTCCGTACTGGTTATGGCACCAGCAGTCGGCAGATGCAGCTAGCTCGTCTACGGCGTTGTTTTGGAACGAGACCAAAACAGCTTGCACCTGTTGAGGAAGTTTGGATAAGAAAAGCTGTTTGAACAGGTCGTCATCGAAGGTTCTTCGGCCAATGACTTCTCGCATTCTTTGCAACATGTCTGTGGCTGAACCGTGTTGCAGGTCGATGTTGTTGAGGAGTTGGTCTAAACTTTGTCGATCGGTTAGATCTCCGCGTTTAAGAATGGCATGTTTCAGGGTTTGGTATGGATCAGAAACATCACTAGTAAACATACTAAGTGTTACGTACCTTTAAATTCGCGTGGTAGTGCCTTTACTACTGCGAGGAATTGTGTACGCGCATCGTTCACACCGTGCTCGTAGAAGTCGGCTTCTGCGTAACAAAACCAGGCTTCGATGTTGTCTGGCCAGAAAGGCATAAGTTGGAAAGAAGGTGGGGACGCAGTTTTTAACGTAAATACTTTAGGGGTCTGTTCAGTCACTGGCGTGAATTCTGTAATTATAATTTTTTCAGAATATAAATTATTATTATTATTATTAAGTACGAAAAGTGAACGAGTGGGATATATATATATATATATATATATAAACCCAAAAACACGGGAAAAAATATCACAATGTTAAAAAAAAGATTAAAATAAGTCAATAATATATAAAATCACAAAAAGGAACAGACTCACAGTTTAAAATATGGTGTACCAGATCACGTCGGGCTCACCAATGAAGATGCTGGGTATTCGGAGTTTGACAACGCTTTAACCAGTAACACCTTCTAATACGAAGCGCACCCACCAAGTAAAATCAAAAAACAGAAGTGAGGAGATCGAAGATATATTTGATAAGCTATCAATATATCGAGAATCGTTTGCACTAATCTGGCTAGCGATTGCGGCAGATGTTGTGCACGGCGTTCCCACACGTGATCTGGTGCGGATGCTTGACTGAGCGCCTTCAGCTAGATGAGTCCACTAAAACTGTGGTCAGCATCCAATGACGAAAACTTACAGAGCTATTTGATTTCGGGGAATTATTTACCGCTACAGTCTAAACACTTCGAGGGGTATTACCAGCTCAAATTCGAGTTTACTAACTTATATATTAAATAATCAGTTATACTACTATATTTTGTGTAACATGATCGTTGGTCCGATTTATAAGTTTTCACAAGGCATGTACAATTATTTCTAGTTAATTTTAA